ATCTTCTATATCTGAAATTCTATCCTCACATTGGTTCATTCTGCTGCATAGACTTTCAATGGAGTTTTTAATCTCCTAGAAATCTGTTTGTATCTGTTTTACGGATTTCGTTTGTTTCTTATGTTGGGATTCCATCATGTTCTTCAGTTCCTCTATTTTTTTATCTGTGTCCTCTCTAGATTTATTAATCATGTCTTGCACTAAAGGCATGATCTCTGCTGTCATCTGAGAAATTATTTCTGATTTCATTTTTTCCAGATCTTCTTTTGTTGCCAATTAAGGGAGAGCAGGTTTTTGAGTATCAGATTGTTTGGTCTTGTTTCCCTTTGGGGTTGCTGTAGGTGATCTGGAAATCTGTTTTTGAGGCTTCTTTACATGTCTTCTCATTTCCACGGTGTGTAGAGGGGTCCTACTGGTGCCTGTGCAGCTTACCTCCTCTGCCCCGGGAGTGGTGGAATGGCAGCCAGGGAGCCTCCTCCTGGGCACTAGGATTAGTTCACTTCCTCTGCCCTAGGAGTGGTGGAATACTGGCCAGGGAGCACCCTCCTGGGCACTGGTATTGGCTCACCTCCTCTGCCCTGGGAGTGGGGGAATGGCGACTGGGAAGCCTCCTCCTGGGTGCTGGATTGGCTGACCTCCTCTGCCCTGGGAGCAGTGGAATGGCAGCCAGGGAGCCTCCTGTGGTTACCTATTTTTTTGCCTCACAAACCATCCCAAATTTAGTGACATAAAAACATTTTTTATGCTCATGGTTCTGTGAGTCAGAAATTTGGTTTTGAGAAGTAGGGGAAATCTGACTCTCTCCCATGTGTCTGTCTTGATCAGCCTGACTCCAGTGGGGGCAGATGGCTGGAAAGCTTGGCTGAAATTATGGTCTTTCTCTGTGTGACATCTGCTAGAGCTGGATTATGCAGTGTGTCTCCTGCACTATGTGATTAGTGTCTGTGCTATGGTCACCCATAGATGGGGCTTCATCACAGCATGACAATCTCAGCCATGGGGACTTATGCATGGCAGATGATTTCTCCATAGCTAGTATTCAAGGAAACTGAAAGGCCTCAAAGATCAGGTAGAGTTTGGGATAAAGATTGTCAAATGGAAAAATGAGATCATCATGGACAAGAGTAGATGAATGTATGTAAAAATGGAGAGGTAGTAACTAACTTGGAGCAGAGGGTTAACTCATTACCAGAGGAGGGAAAGTAGATCACATGGGCTCTGAGACAGTTAAATGGGAATTCTATTTGCTTTTCTATTTGCTTTCATTTTCTTAGTGAAATGAATAGAAAGTTCAACAGTGGGGCTGGGGTCAATGGGTTAGAGTCATAAGAATATGGGATAATTTGATTATTTGAACTGTGTAGGAAATTTAAGAACATACAGTAGCTGACCTGCAATGAAAGATCCCTATCTTCATGTTCAAATCCACTTCTCCACCATTGCTGCTATGCTTTCTTACCTCTTTTGAGTAGATTCTTTTTAAATAGGAAAAAAAAGATACTTTGGGCTGTTTGTTCCTTTATCTTGATCTACATTCTGACATGATATGAATTAATTTGCAGACACAAAGTCAAAGAATGATTTTAAAAGTTATTTACCTCTAACTGAATTCTAATCTGAAATCTCATACCACTAGGCTGGTGGGATCCAATCTCTCTCATTTTGGGAAAACTTTACTATAGTGTAACCCTACAAATGGAGTCCCTGCTCTTATGTGTTACACTGGCCCTGCTGTTGCTACTCCCACACTTGCTTTCTGGAATTTTCATAACTGAAAATGTTCTTTGAAGACAGAAAGCTCTGCTGTTCCTTGCATCACAGGAATCTGCCAATGCCTCGTTATCCAGAACTGTGCATGGCTGCTCACAATGAACCATGTTCTCTTCCTACTTCCCAGGGCCCTCTCCATTTACTGAGATGAAGCCAGGAAGCAGAGTGTTATGGTTTGTATCTAGATGTCTCCTGAGAGCCTGGAGGGCTTATAGGTCAAGTGTAAGTAAGAGGATTGAACCATGGGGCCCTATAGCTGACTTGGTGTTAGGAGGTCAGGCCTGGTCAGCAGAAGTAGGTCATGAAGGTGAGACCAGGAAGGATCTATCTCTCTCCCAGCTCCTCCCTTTTCTCTCTGCTTCCTGACCACCATGATGTGAGGAGTTTTCTTCCCCAGACCCTTCCACCTTAGAGCTTCTGCCTTGGAGCTGGCCAATTTTGGACTAAAAACATGAGCCAAAACAAACTTTTCCTCCTTTAATTTGTGAGTCTGGTATTCTGTCTCAGTGACAAGAAAGTGACTAAGACACAGAGGTTTCTACTTTAGGGCTAAGATCATCTTCCAAAGAAGTTTGTACCTTGTCCCCTCTCCACATCCAACTCCACCCTGGTCAGCAGTGACTCTGCACTTTCCCACTGGGGGTCCTAGGGAAGGGTCCTTTTGTCACACCACATCTCTGGATAATAGTCCCTTCATCCTATTTGATTAGCTCCTTACGTTCTGTCTAGACCTCATGTTGGAGCACCGGCGCTGTTTGCTCAAGTTCTCATCCATGAAGACCCATGGATGGATGCAGGAAGGGTTCAGCTATAGAATCCCCCAACAACCACCGCCTCTCATACCCTGGGTAAAAGGAAGGTGGGCATGGGCCAACTGAAACAGAGGGATTCACTGGCCAGCCACTTTCTTTGTTTATTTTGTAGGTGTCATGATCAGCGATCCATCTTTTCATGTGCTGAGTTTCCACATGATGATACTCAAATATCTGTGTGGTATCTGAGCTGACAAAGGAGTTATTATAGGAAATATTAGTCTTTTCTCATCGTTACATATTATTTACTCCTAAAACAGTTCTGTAAGGGAAACATTAGTTTTTCTTTTCCTTTTTTCTTTGTATTAGTGAAAAATGAAGCCCTAAAAACTTTTACATTTCACTGTATCAAACAGAAGGTAATAACTTCTGGAGGACTCAGTCAAACCTAATTCTTCTGCCCTGTGAAAAATAGCATTTCACTATGTGCTATGATCTTAAAATCACATGCCATACTTTCTTGAAATGAAGTGCAATTTATACCTTTACTTGCCTTCAAAACCAATTTACAAAAGGCAGAAAACGAAGACTTCCTACCCCCCTTCACCCCAGCTTCTGGCACCCATCACACACTTCTTCACACAAGAGGAGGTATCTCTTACATCTCAACCTCCCTGCATTCAAAGATGATGGCTGTGAGTTGATTTCATATTAGCATTCGTTTTATAGATTTTTGTTTCTGACCAGAAATATCACTTCAACTCTACTCACCATGGCAACAAAACAGCTGAAGATTCTTACAGCCTGCTTACTGAAGAAAAATACTTGAAAATACCCTTTGATGCTAAAATTGGCTTTGTTTTCACAGTACCAGGAGAAATAACTGAGGGATGTGGACATCACTGTACATTTCAGATGGATTCACCCACTGGGAGAATTGAGGGTGTACCAGAAAGAGAGAAAAAGAACAAAAGAACAAAAGACAAAGGAAGGATTGGAGGCATAGAAAAGAAGGGAGCCAGAAAGGCTATAGCATGCTTATATAATTAAACATTTATCCATTGTTTTATAATTAAACAATTTTCCATACACTTACCCCCCACAAACCATTCCTTATTTCTATCGATGCACTCACTGTGTTGCTGGATACATCTTGTTCACCTTTCTGTCTTCTGTAATTGGATTATGGTTCCCTGGAAGGCAGAGACCATGCCTTAGTCATTCGTGAACCTTTCTTTTTAAGTGTGTGATAGCTCAAAAAAATAAGATCTTTATCAATCAAAATAAATATGGAAATAAAGAATACATAACTTCAAACACCTTTAGAAATCTTGGCATGGAAGGAGTTGTACGAATACAATTACTTTTGATTATATTATTTATGGTGAAACATGATGAGAGATATGTTTTTCTGTCTCAGAGGACTGGTGGCAGGACTTGCGTTAAGCAGTTATTTACTCAGAGGCTTAATACTTGATTGAATTAAACTAAGCTCATTTGGAAAGGTAAATATATCGACAAAGCCACATTGAAAGTATTTTGTTTACTATTTTCATAGCTAGGCCTTGTTTGTGTATATACCTGAGATTTGATTATGTATCATAAAAAATGGATACATGACAGGTTATCTAGTTGCCAGGGGAGGGGAGAGGGTTTCTAGGAAACTTAGTTACCTTGTTAAAAGTACTCTGTTCTTGATTCCCAGTTATCAAGAAAAAAAGCTGCTGTATTTGGAGAGAAATGTTCCATCAGGGCACTAGTCAGTGCTTAACAATCAGCTTGCTAGGAGAACAAAATAAAGCCCAGGTTTGCAGGACTTGCCAGTTTCCACAGTATAAATACTTGTACTTTAACCAGGACCAGGTCCCTGGCACAACACGAGGGAATGCAGCATTGAAGAGGAATCCACAGTAACATGTTAAGATGTAGTTGCTGCATCCTATAAATGCAACACAAGTGGTAACCTTAAGAGCATGCAGAGGAGTAAAACAGGAAATGTCATGCCTCGAATACACATTACTTCCGTTTTTATATAATCCACTTAACTGTAAATGTATAGGTTTAATTTGTGACTGAGAGCTGTGTTTGGAGCCTTAAGCGGCCCTCTCTAGTGCTGGGGAGCTAGGTCCGGAGTGTCACTGGATATTGGCTCTGTCGTTTCACCTTAGAGGACAGCCACAGGGCCAAGTGTTGCCAGGCTCGGCAGCATTAGGCACCTCTGGGCCCGGTAGGGCAGGGTCAGCCTTCTCCTCACAGTGGGACACTGGTGCAGAGGGTCAGCAACGGGCAGGTGGTCTGTGCTCTGAAGCTCTGACAAAGGTCACCGAGGAGACAGGCAGCGAAGTTCGGGGTTCCATGTCTCCCCTTCTGCAGCAGCCTCCAGACAGGAAGCTTGCGGTGGGCAGGGTTTACTACACCCGGGCAGCACATGGACGAAGCGCCTGACCTTGACATCACTGTGAAGGTCACAGAAACCAGCAGGCACGGCAGGCAGGCCACTGGGTGGCAACAACTGACCCCTGCGAAGGAAATAACATTTCTGGAGCTCTCCTTGCACTGAGTCAACTCGGACCTGTTGAACTCCGGAAAAGGAAGACACAGACCATTCCGAATACGCTTGTTTACTCCACACCAACTACAGAGACTCTCGAAATAAATATGGTATGCAGTGTAGTTGTTTCTTCTCTCTAGCTAGGTTTTATTTTTCTCAAGTCATCCGGTTTTCCTGGATGGCGTCGGCAGATGACATAAAGTCTCGTTCCTCCTTAAGATGCAGGTAGTAGAACGGGGGTCTTCTCGCAAATTGAACTCTTAGAGGGAGGAGTGAGCTCACGCCCAAAGCCGCACCCCTGCTGAGCGGGCGGGGAGACGCATCAAACCGTGGGTGACTGAGAGGGGATGCACAGCGTCGCCCTCCGAGACCACCAGGCCTTCTGCGGCCTGCAAGGGAACGGCTCCACGTCTGTCCAGCCAACGTCCACCCGGAGAGGGGCGCCAGACAGCGGTTGCGCGGAGACCTCTCGGAAACCTGGAACACGAGGCGAACGTGGCGCCGGCCTCTTCTGCGGAAGGCGCCGGCTCTACACCCGGAAACCCTGCCGGGGTCCGCCTCGCAACCCCGCGCAGACTCCAGCAGAAAGGTTCCGGCAGCTTTTCAGCTGCTGCTGTCCGACAACTTTCCCTAATTCTTTTAAATGGTCTGTTTAGAATTTCACTTATTGAGATTGCAGTACAGTAGTTACTTCTAACTTCCTACGAAGTCATTCTTGTCACCTAGGATTTCAAAATTACTTTCTTAGCCTTGAGCAAAAAGCTTTATGAATCTAAATTTCCTCTGTATCTGTTGTTACTTTTCCCGTTCATGTCTTGTGTTGAAAATTTGTTTCTCTCCCCAACCCTTTTTATTTTCCTTAAAGAAATTATGTAATGACCTGTATACTTTATTGTGCCTGTTACTTCCTTCACTCATAAAGCTCTGGGATATATTTTTGATAATTTTATTAATTTGTGCATTTATATCTATTGATTCCTACATTTTGCCTGCTTTTTTCTGTACTAGGTTTATTTTGTTGCTATTTTTCTAACTCTGTGAGCTGGATATCTGGGTAGTTATTTCTTCATAATTGATAATGCAGTGATTAATTGCTATGATTTTTCTCAAGGATGAATTTGGCTCTACCTAGTGTAATATGGTATATTATTATAATTTGTAGATACTTTGCAATGATGCATCTTTCTTCTGTCTACCACCCATCTTCCCTACAGCCTTAGCCAAAAGTCTTTGAAGAAACTTAGGTTCCAGTTCCAGTGGGATGTTTTATTTTCTAGGTTTTGCTCATCTATTGGTGTTGCAATGCATTAAGAAAATAACGTCATGCTTCATTTTGGAATGGGTTGAGGTTTCCTTTGTCATCCTTGCAGTTATTTCAGGTTGAATGACCACTTTGTTGACAAGAGTTGGCAGAGGGTAAAGGCAGAGGTAACCCAAAAGTCTCAGCGAGTAGATCAGTCCCTGTTTAACTATCTAAAGGATACATATATATCAGCACAGCACAGTCAGGTGGCAAAAAGATGAGCAGTAATTTCAGACAGGTTGAATATTTAGCCCGGAAATTCCCCACTGGAGAAACAAAGCTGCAGGTAACATACCTAATTTAGTCATTTCAGGCTGTAGAAATCCTGCTGCAGGTGGATGTGAGTCCGTGCCAGAGAGCATCTAACTGGGCACAGGTGTGCAGCTCAGGCCCTGTGCTGCCAGGGCCATTCATCACTGCAGGGCAGGGTGCCCTTCTCTCTAGTCTTCATCCATCACCCTGGGACTTGGGTTGTACAGTCGCCTAAGTCAGTTCTTGAACTCAGCAACTGAGAACCAGGACAGAGGAGCTTCCCAGACAGCTCCCAGAATCATGTTTAAAGAAGCTTGGACCTCTTGGAGTGCTCCTTGGGCTTGTGGTCAGGCACATACATGGGCTGTGACAAAAGGCTTACTTCCCATTTTCAAGGTATAGAATTATATATATATATATATGGCAAGATGTCTAGGTTTTGTTTATCATTGTTTTGTCCAGGAACTATGCCACAAGAAAGGCATGAATCACATCTTCTTACTACAGTTTTTATGTCTCATTGTATTGCTTGTGGATTTGGTTTTACGAAGATTTGTGCATATATATTCATGACTATTGGATTTTGGTTGTAGATTGCACAATTTTGATTCCAGTTTGGACCTGGCAAGCTTTTCCCACCTGATTGTCAAGAGTCATTTTGTTTTAGTGACTTACACCCAGTAGACACTTGCATTTTATTTGCTAATTCCACCTAGGGGTTTTTTTCAATAGACGCTTTAAAATAATTAAAGTCTCTGGACATGATAAACCTACTTATTCTTGGATTTTTGTTTGTGTTTTATGTCACTGTACTTTTTGATGTCTTAGATTATTTTAAACATATCTCCTGTGTGATTGTGTATGAGTGTGTGTGTGTGTGTATGTGTGTGTGTGTGAGAGAGAGAGTTCTGATTGTTTGGAAGCCTTGAAATTTTGTTGTATTGCTTGACTTTAGAACTAAAACCTTATGTACATTCTTCACTTTGCTCTGACTTACAGCAATTAACTGTATAAATTAAATGCATACTAGCAATATCCTGTAAATAAATGTAGGCTTAATAAATGATGCTACTGAAGAGTAATTATGTAGAAATATTAAGTTGTTTTAGTTATGGGCTACTTCCTACAAGGTAATTCTCTCTGTGTTACAGATTTTGCTGCTATTCCAACCTAACTGTGCGTATTTGTGGATGTTTTGCTAATCAGCTCTCCAGGTTGGTGAACTGCACTAGACTAAAGAGATTGGGAGCTGGAGACTGTGGGCTCCTTGAACTTGATACCATGAGATGTGGTAGGCTCAAGGAAAAGTAACTTACAGGAATAATTGTTATAATCTGATTGTCCTTGTTTGCTGACAGAGGACTTCTCCCTGTGACCAGTTTTCCCTCCTTTCCTTACTGTACTTTTGTCTTTCTCAGATAATAATGTTTATGTACTGTAGTCCATTTTCCTTTTCTTCTTGTCTTTCCTCGCAGTTGCCTTCTGTCCATTTATTAAGCTGTAATGTGATCACACTTCAACTGAATTTTGGAAAGGTAATGGAAAGAAAACAGTATTAACTAGAGAGACAGTAGAGCCCTAAGGGTGCTCAAAACATGCTCAAAATCAGAATTTCATTCTCAAACAATACTGCTGGGGCCTTGAGTCAGAAAGAAGCACTAGGGAAGCAAAAGGCTTTTGAAATGTTGTGCATAGAAATGCAAGGAGAAAGAGTTGAGCAAAAGTTCCAACAACTTTGTTTTTAATTTTAAGTAAAGAATAAAAGATGACCACTAAGCTTTTACAGTATTACTTTAGAATATTTGGTGGAACGATGCTTAGTTAGGAAAAAAATAGCATTTATCTGAGGAATAGTTTTTCTTTCATTCACACCTTGGTCCATTAAACAGAAGTGACTGCCAATAATATTCTAAGGGTGGTGTCACACTTCTAGGTATGACAGCCTTTTGAATACTTAATGTAATTATAATGAAAAAGTAATCCAGGTACTTACAGAAATCCAGAAAAGTAGCAGCATAGAAGAAAGGAAAATTATACCTGATAGAATTGACATTGTATTCATTATCTTTCATAGCCTTCTGGTTTTACTAACATGAAAACAAATATATATTGAAAACATATTATATTTGTGTATTACTCTTCAGTTCTCTTTTCACTTACTATAAAATACAATAATTTTCCATGTCACTACCTGGCTAACTTAATGCTTTATACAGTAACACTCTCCTACCCCCTGGGCATACATCCCAGGACCTCTTCTTGATGCCTGAAATCATGCATAAGACTGAGCCCTTTACAGACTGTATTTTTCCTATGTGTAATACTTATGATAAGGTTTAATCTGTAAGTTAGGCACAGAAAGAAATATAACAATATACCGTAATAAAAGTTATGGGACTCCCCGCTCCCCCTACATATCTTATTTTCCCTTCACTTTCTCACTTACGCAAAACACTGCCTGCTTCTCTTCAGATGATCTGAATTTGCAGGACAGCTACTCGCACCTTGGCGCATTAGTAAGGAAAAGAGAAGTTACTTGAATATACCCACTGCCAGATCGACCTTGGACACTGAGATTTCATCCCGATATTCAGGACAGCGCACAACTCCACAATTTGAATTATTTCTAGAATTTTCCATCTAATGTCTTGGACTGCAGCTGACCACACGTACCTAAAATGCTGGAAACCAAAACTGCACTTGCAGGGCCACTGTGGCGGTCTTTGCACAGGCCCATCTCACTTCTCCCAGCGGCCCAGCACCACCCGTGGATCTGAAAACCCAATGCCGCTCTTGCACCTGGGGAACAATTGGTCTACAAACTCTTAGGGTGCAAAGTCCTTCTAGTAGAACATTTGATCATGATCCTACTGATCCTACTGTATACGTATTTGTAAATGTGTAAACCCTTTTACACTCTGTATACAAATTCATGTACCTGTTTTAAATTTATGATATTTCTATTGTTTTTCTGAAATTTGTGAAGAACTAGACGTTTAACTTTTTTAATTTGAATTTTTATTAGAGCATGTTTGCAGTACATAATAATGATGTTCCTTGTGAGGAGTTGGCACATGTACATAACACATAATAATTCTTCTTTCATCCCCTTCCCCTTCTCTCCCCTCTTCCCTCCATCTCCTCATTGCCTTCTCACCTGCAAAAGATCTCTCTCCGTTTCCTATTTTCTGTCTTTTACTTTGCTCATTGATTTATTCACACTTTGGGTTTCTCATACAAGAGAAACCGTGTGATATTGAAGCTTGGGTGTCTGATTTATTTCACTCAAATTTGTGCTCTTCAATTCCTGTGGAAACGATTCTGTGCCCTCTTTGCTATGGACTTCACCCCCGCCCTTGTCTGCGAGGCCTCAGGCTGCCTTTCCTCGGGGATTCTGTCCCCCACGAGGCAGGCCTGCCCTGCGGGGTTTCCACAGGGGCCTCTGGGTGCTCACAGGCTCTGCGCTTGGTCTGCTTATCGCGTGGAGGTCTTTTGAGCTTGTGTGAACTATGGGGCATGTTCAGGTTGCCTTCTTGCCCCCTTTTCGAGGTGGTCTTTGACACCTCCGGATGTGTCCACACATCTATCTGCAGGGCTCTGTCAATGAGGCTCCTTCCTTCTGGGACCCTGCCCTCAACCTGCAGCCCCTCAGCCTCCCTAACTCCCACCCTCAAGTTCTCTGGTGCAAGAGGAGAGTTCTCCCTGCACTCCCTCCCATGCCTCTGTCTCCACGGCCCGCTGGACCCTGGGTCCCAGCCATCAGCCCTGTCCCCTGTGTGTTCCGTCCCCGAGAGCAGTCAGGTGCTGCTTGTCCTTCAGGGTCTCAGCCACTGGAGTCATTCCGTGCATTGTCCTTACTTGTCTAATTTTTTGTGACAGTAGGTTAAGTCCAGTCCTTGTCCCTCTCTTATGTCTGGGAGCAAAACCCATTCCATTTAAATTTCAGTAAGAACATAACATGCACGGGACACTTTGTTTTTCCTTACACACATCTGATTTGCCTTTCGACCTTGCTTTGATGCCAATTGCTTTTGGCCAGAAAACTTGCCGTTTTCTTCAGAATGACTCCTGGATGCCCACATAAGAATCCCTACTTGCCCCCGGGGGTCCATATTTCCTTTCCTTCACCATCCCAGTTGTGTTGGGTTTTAAATAATCTCCAAGGTCTGCTCAGTGACTGAATATTCTGTGACTCCTGTTCTACTACCTTTAACCTCAGGCCTGTACATGGTGATTCCAACAATGGGATTCATGGTTAGTTTGTAGCAGCATGGTCCCCATCACATTGCCAGACTCTGACACAGGATGGACACTCAGCAGCATGGACATATTTCTCAGGCAAATTTCTCCAGTTCTGCATTCTTTGCTCAGCAGCTGGGGCACCTTGGGTCCGCACATAATAATTTTGTGCCTCACCCATCTCACCTTAAAATGAGACTATATGATAATAGCTACCACCAATGGTGATTGGGAAGACTAAATATATATTTTTTATGTAAAGTGCTTGGATTACTGCCTGGCACACAGTGAATACTCCATTAATGGGAAGTAATCATGTCATCTGAAAACCCATGGCTAACTCACTGTGCAGTGACCCACACTAATGTGTTCTTCTCGTGAACAGATCTCCTTTGCCACTCCTACTCAGATAATACACAATAACCACATATTCTGCTTCCTTTTGCATAAGTAAGCTCAATTTTACTTGTTTTCTATCATTTAATAAGACCACTGTAGATAGTTTAGCATTTACATTTAAAAGTTTGTGTGTTTGTTTGCACAAGCATCCTTATATGAATTATTATTTACAGTGGTTAAAATCTGGAAGCAATCTTAGTATCTAATTATTGGGAAACAGTTAATGTCACTAAGCAGGGTATCATGAAGCCACTATACAATATTTTTATAAAACATATTAATAAGTGATGAATCTGGCCATATCATAAACCATAAAGGTAGAATTATGTGTGTGTGTGTGTGTGTGTGTGTGTGTGTGTATAATTCATAGGCTGTTCAAAGTTTAAGTGTGAACATATACTGTAGGTTTTTGGTTGGTTTTGTTTTTTTTTTTGTACTGGGGATCGAACTCTGTTCCTCGCGCTTGCACAGCAGGCGGCAAAACCACTGAGCTAAATCCCCGGCCCCATATCCTCTAGGTTTATAGAAAGAATGAAGTGACCCCAGTAGCCCTCGGAAGTTGATATTTTCTGTCTTTCTGTGATCTTGGCATCACTAGTCCTGCTGGTCCCCAGGTGTTTTACTTGTAGAGATACAATCCAACACAACACCCATGGGCTCTTTCACTCAGCAAACACATCATCTCTGTGCACACGTGCATGCGTACAGACGTGTGTATGTGTGTGTGTGTGTGTGTGTGTTCATTCATTTATTTTCATTCCCTTACATAATTCCTCATTGTGATTTCTTGTTACTTTGCTGTTTTTACTGCTTTTTTCTCTTTCCTTCTGTGGACCTTCAGGGACATCACAAGGAAGAACTAGAGGAGATAATTTGTTTTTCATTGTGTGAAAACTCTGACAAATGAAACCGGACAGCTGAAAAACAATCTCGACTCCATGCCGTAGTTGAAAGTTGGTACATTTCGTAAACAAAGACTGATGTTGTTCTCAAAGACAGGGGAGGATTCCCCGAGTAAGGGAGCCCGTTCCTGATTATCCACTTGATGTGGAGCTAAGTGTCTTCAGAACATTTCTTGACATCAAATTTCCCCACACTTCTCAAAATCCATCTTGAGCCTTGTATTGAACACTATATTTTTTGCTACAAATGTCTGTGACTGGGAAATGACAAGCTAAAGTGCGTAAGAGCTTTAATCCAACATCGGTGGACTTAACGTGTTCTCCACATTTCACTAATTGCTTTCAGTGAAAAGAAGTCCAGCATGATATGTCCTGACCTGACCTTTGCCATTTGTTCTCCTTAATCATCCTGTGGGGGTGACTTCGTAAATGCCAGTTATTTTAGGGGGCTTTACCCTCTTTACCTTCAAAACTAATGCTTTGCAATTCCTTTTTGTTCTTCCTAGGCCACTTTACCAGTCCTGATGACTGGTAGAATTATGGTTATGGGGAGTGCACACACACAGCTTACCAAACTTGCTTTATGTTTAGATGAACTTCTGGGAAGTCGATATTCTACTTCCTTTCACAGTTATGAGAAGGTTAAGAATCACCCTGAAACCTGGACTGATGTCACGTAATCCACAAGGGGGATTTAGCGGTCCCCTTGCAGGATCAGGTTTGTCCTCTAGCTCATTCTACCTTTCCTTGTGAGGATGCGTCAACCTCTTCTCTCTGCTCACTGAAATTCCTGTGCAAACTTGATCCTGGACTTACAGATTTATGTTTCTAAAGCACAGGTATTCCCTGGCTTGAAGTCCTCACAAATCTTAAATGGCTGTCAAAGCCTTCTGCACAAAATTCCCAGAATAGCCATAAGACTGACTCTTTAAAAAGATATAGACATGGATTTCCATCACATCCAATCTACTATCCCTGAGTATGGTCCAATGTTTCTTGACTTATATTTTTCTCCCTGTTAAACTTTTTATCTTAGTCAGTTTTTCTGTTGCTAAGACACAGTGTCCAACACCCACAACTGAGAGGAAGAGAGGTTAATTTGGCTCACAGTTTTGAGAGATTCAGTCCATGGGTGGCTGGGTACAAGACAGGAACACTATGGCAGAAGGGTGTGGAGGAGCACAGCTACTGGCCCGGAAGCAGGAAGCAGAGTAGGAGAACAGAGTCAGAGAACAGCTGGCTACAGACCATGAGTTTCCAAGGCCCTGTCTCTAGGACCCACCTGGTACACCCATCCTCTGCTAATCTGCTAGGCCATTCCTAACCTAATGGAGTGACATATCCAGATTAAAGTTCATGCCTTCATACTCTTCACAGCTCTTGAGATTATTATTTGTCAGTAAATTTCATCACAAATGGCTTATCAGCACAGCTGGTCATAGCATGTATTAATTTTTTTTTAATTTTGAGACAGAGTCACACTAAGTCCCTAAATTGCTCAGGCTGGGCTTGAACTTGTGATCCTCCTATCTCAGCCTCCCGAAGTGCTGAGATGACAGGTGTGCGCCTCCATGCTGGACCCAGATCACCCCTTGTATCTCACTGAATTACTATGGTGCTTTTAATTCCAATTAATTAGACTATGACTATTTTGCTCTTCTTGTGCCATTAAATGTATGCATCAAGTTATATTAAAAATTAAACAGCAATATATTTTCAAAGATATCCACAAGTAAGAGTATTAAAATAATTAGAGGTGGGCTCTTGGGGAATCAATCCACCTCTGGATGTGCTGAAGGTAAGTATTTTCTTTCCTTTTCATCTTCATCTCCTTGTGTTCTTAAACAATATCTTACTAGAAATGTGGACCATGAAATGCTTGTTAACTTCATTTCAACTTTTAAAACATATTTCTCCAAGAATGAAGATAGGCTAAAAAATTTAATTAACTATGGTTAAAATACTTTATGATTTGTGTGCATAGTAGTGAGGAGTGAACCCAGAGCCTTCTCACTTAGCTACATCACTTTTTATTTTTTGAGATGGACGATTGCTAAATTTCCCAGACTAAGTTCAAGCCTGCAAACCTCCTGCTTCAGCCTCCCGCAGTGCTAGGATTACAGCACGTGCCACCACACCCGACTTTTTCTTAAATTCTATTTTTATCTTCTAGTGATCAAGGTTATCCCCAGAAGCCTTATTTCAAAATGGAAATTGTGTTACTAAGATTAATGTAATGTTTATTAAGTTATATTTCCAGTAATATGTCAAATTGCATTTTTGATTCTTTTACTTCATCTTTAATTCTGAGGCAGACATGATCCTTTTGTGCAGAAGGACACTCACTTGCTCCTTGAAGCCACAGTGCAAGCAGCTTGGCAGCATCAGGCAGGCAGGAGGAGGCTGGAGTGTTGTCCTCCCCTTGTGCCTCTCTCTTCCATGTGCACCACCCAAGGTGCACTGGTGGCTGAGATGCCCAGGGTCCCTCACTAAGCATTTGCACCCCTCTGACTGAGATCTGCCTCTGCTTCCCTGCAGCAACCTCACAGACTGGCTTCCAACCCTGTGCGCGCGTTCCCATGGAGACAGAAGAGGAAGGATCAGCAGCAGCCAGTGAAAGTCTGATCCACACAGGGCGTGTGCTGATTCTCACTGCTGATGCCTCCACAGAGGCTGCACTCCTTCCTGGAGATCCCCCACCAAAGCCAGGAGAGTGCTGGGCTATAAGGCATGGCTGTCTTCATCGGAGTCAGGACAGTGACAAGGGATGGCTCTGCCTGCAGAGCCCAGTTCCCTGTGTTTTGCCATTCAAGCAATGGAGAAGAGCAGCCAAGGAGGAGTTCAGCATGGAGATGTTCACTAATACAGCTGAGAAGATGAAGAATTCCTGCAATACGCAGTTATGAAATGCACAGAATGGTAACTGTGGTCCCCAAAACTGCATCGTACACTGCAAATTTGCTAACAGAGGAGCTCGTAGGTGTTCTCCCCACACACAAGCAAACAACAGTAACTGGGTGAGGTATAATTAACTTGATGGAGGTAATCATGAGGTCGTCACAAAATATGGTGTGATGAAATGAAATTATTATATTAAAAAACACAATGCCATTAATTCCTCTCAATCCTCTTCCTTCTGCCAAACACACATCCCATCATTCTTGCTACTTTCTGAAGCAATTCTAGAAGTCCTCCTTCGTGAGGGTCTTTATGAGGTGTGATAGAAAATACAGTGAATACCTCTGCTGACCACCATCCAATGGGAAGGCAGGTTCATAAAAACATTACCTCATCCACCTTAGTTACCGGATCTTGCACTGCATAACTTCTGTCCCTTCCCCAGTGTTGAAATGACCTCAAAAGGGAAATGTTGTGAGTTGATTCAGGCATGGAGGCAGCTAGGACAGTGCAAACAAAGACACCCCCCCCATGCTTCTCATACTACACTGTATACCTGGAAGTCAGGCAGTGATACCTGTCAGTGACTACTCTACCTCAATGACATTGCAAGAAAAAGACGTATGGTTGGGGCCACACTCTGTGGAAGGGACAAGATGGGTAGAATGAAAAGACAAGAGGGTCCTTAGGTGTCTCAGTATGAGTGTATGTGCCAGTGCCTGGACATGAAATGGGTTTTGCTCCGTTTTGACAGAAAATGTCACAACAAGGCTTGATTGTTTCAAAGTGACAAGTTGTCATTTCTAGGTCACACTTTGGGGTGCTTGTTGAGGGGACAGATGTATTTAGGGGACAGATGTCATGTCTTGGGGCATCATTTATCTGCCTGGCAACCAGAAGAGTTTCCATCACACAAAATTATTAACTAATTGTTGAGGGAATTACCAAACTAATTCTTTACATGACTGTAGGAATAAGTGCCATGTATATCTACCTGCTTTTTATCTGTTCTGTTTGCTTGTTCATCTTTTTGCAGTACTTGAGATTGCATCGGTAGCCTTCACACCAGCTCTTTTTATTTTTTATTTGGAGACAAGGTCTCACTAAGTCACTAAGGTACCCAGGCGAGACTTGAACTTACATCCGTCCCGCCTCGGCTTCTGAAGGTGCTGGAATCACAGGTGTTGACGACACCCAGTCTCTGTCATCCTGTGTTCTCTTCTCGTGCTTATCACTGAACGGGTTATGCAAGTGTGCTTCCTGAAAGTATGGTACTTTCCTTTCCAAGTCTGCTGCAGAGGCTCCTAAACTGAATGCTCCCAACGTCCAAACGCTGTCCCTTGGCATCAGAGCACAGGCAATTGAAGACTGGCAAAAGAATAGGACAATAAAAAATCAGGCCATGGGGCAATGTACTGGAAATCTCTTGTCATGATCTCCTTACCATGAGGCCTTCGCTGCAATACACCCCAGCCTTCTTTACCGCACTGTAAATTAACATACAATCACCAATAAAGTTCAGTTTACCTTCAGAAGAAATCAGAGCGAACTATTTCTGGCAGCCTGTAGAACATAGAAAGAATAATTATAGGTTAATCTGTATCATTTCTGTTAAAATAGCATTTTCCAAATGCAATTGTAATAACTTTCCATTGGAGAAAACCAGGAAAGTATGAAAAAACAATCATTTTCTTTATTCGCATTAATTTAGTTTTAGGGACTCGTGTGACTTTGGTAGCTCTTCCTGTGGGGTGTGCGTGTGCGTGTGTGCATGTGCGTGCGTACATGCACGTGCCGGGACTGGATTGCTCTGCAGCACTGAGACCACAGAGAATGCCACTTGCCGCTCGGGCTCCACACTGTGTAGAGACCAGCGCAGCTCAGGGGCCCGCTTGCCAGCCTCTGGTCCGAGTCTCCACTGCTCCCAGCGGTCCAGAAGCCTGATGTTCCCAGCTGCTGTCACCGCACTGCCTTCTTCTCCTGGGGCTTCTGACCCAAGAGTGTGAAGTTGATGTGACTCCCTTTGGACCAATCTCCACGCTTGCAGACATCTGAGAACATCACTGGGCTCGGAGGACCTCCCGTCAGTTCCTGCTAACTCGCAGTCACATTCTTTGTTCACCTAGTTTCCAGGCAAATATAAAATTTCTCACAGGACAGGCTTTGAGCTTTGGCAATGACATTACTGTTCTGTTCTCTTCGTGAGCTTTTACTGTGTCAACCATCTATTAATGATGTACCAGTCTGTGCTTTCCCAAATGGATGCCCAGCTTCCTGGCCAAACCCTTCCAGCCTGCAGCGGGATGGCACGGTGCCCCCGGTGTCTGAACGGTTTCTCTGTCTGGTGCCTCTGTGGTTGAGACGGGATCCTCACCTTCTCAACTATCTAAGTGTCTCTACCAAGTGAATGGCATGCAGATGTCTTATTACTGCCATCGTGAGATAAAAATAGCTCCTGAAATGACAGCATCTGCTCTTCCCACCCGGCTTCCCCTCCCTAGCGAGCCACAGGAAGCGTGATGTCGGAGACATAGAGCAGGTTTAGCGGAAGCTCACTAAGCCTTGGGGTGGTGTGGGTGCAGGTGAGAGAGTTTCCGGGGGGCTCATTCCCTGAACAGCACTGTGGGGTACACGGAGGTGACGGGCAGACAGTGGACAAGGACTCTGCCCTGCAATCCTTTCCACACCACGAAGGCAAGATGACCAGAACCGAGGAAGATCACCCTTGATCCTTGGAGATGCCGGGACTGGGGCTCTGTGTGACAAGGCCAGAGGATGTAACTTCTATTTGCTGCTGTGCCCTGCATGGATCCTGAGGAGCACAGGACAGCCAGAGCCTGCAGCAGGGACCCTGGCACCACACCTCACCAAGGGAGGGGACATCACTCACAGGAGAGACTCAGTAGCGTGCCAGGGGCACAACTGTGTCAAAGAAAGACAGAGAATCACCAGTGCCAGGCACATTCACTTAATGAAGCAGACAATCAAGAACTTAAATCAGCCCGGCATGCGCTTCCACTTTGTATATTAGAGACCAGGTTATGAGACGCGTGCAATAACAGGAGATGCTGCTAGGGTACATTCTAGGCTGTTTTAAGTATTTGTTGAAAAAAATGACTTGTGATTGAAAATCAATTCAAAATTGAACAAAATTCATCCCAGCAATAGCATGAAAGCTGGGATTTCAGCCCCGCGTGCTCTGCTGTCTTTACGCTGTGCTGTCTTCCCTCAGCGCGTGGCTGTTTGGCACTTAATTCCTGGCCCCGGCTCCTGATTGCAGAGACAGCCAGTGCTCTGTTTGTCGCTCCTGTCTGCACTCAGACTTTCTGTGCAAGAGAAGAGTCGTTTAACTGAATCAACCTCTTACAAACTCACCCTGACATGCCACGCGTCCTCGCCCTCACAGTTAGAGACAGATTTGAGTCAGGGCAGAGCCTGTATCAACAAAGGCACAGCGTGCCTGGGGGTGGCTGAGGGGTGTCTGAGGTAGGATTGCATGACTAAATCTTACAGGAGCATTTCTGAAAACCGCATTTGAGATGGAGATTTAACCAGGAATCTAAAATTTCAGCTGATGTGGGGAGCTTGTCTCATAATATTCTCTACCCCACAGGAGGGAGTCACCAGGGCTGTGTTTTCATGACAAGCCAAGTACAAAGTGAAATGAGGCCAAACTGCCTACCTGCCTTTATGCCCATGGTCCCAAGTGTTTAAAATGTGAACAGACGCGCTCTTATCTCTGCACCCCTAACTCTGTGTAAATATACACATTGGAACAGGCCCGATACAATATGTAACAGAAGAGGAAACAAGCAAGCGCAGTCCCCTGACATATTTTGTAGTTCAGGAGAACAAGTCTTCTGTTTACCATGGAATCTCAAAGTTCTCGTCTTTGTGTTTATTCTTTGCTGCAAGATGTTTGCGTTGGAAGGGTTCTTTTCTTTCTTTTCCCTCCAGTGTGTGTTAACATGAAGCTCATACGAGATCACTGCTCCAAAATACATATAAATATTTGTGAGAGGGTACATGAACGGGGATAACCTTTATTAGGTAAAGGGCATTAGCCAGCACTGCAGGCTGGTGTTCAAAACACCCCAACAGAAGGAGAAATAATCAAGAAATTAAATTCAATAAGTGACCTATGATATTAGCATGTGTGCAGTAGTAATGAATATTCAGTTATCTCGGTGGATTTTATTATTCCTAAATCAAATTATTTCAAAAGGCTACTGCTTTGACTGTTCAACATATCTTCCTTAAAGTTTACAATGCATATATAAAATGCATGTGCACCACATGGTACTGTTGTGATCATCCATGCATGAACACATGGGTGTATTCAGAAATGAAAATATTCCTGAAGAAGCCATGTTCAACTGCAGAAGAAAGATGTTAGTGTCTGTCTAACATGTGGTGTCTCAAAGGCACAAAACCAGTGTATGAGGTAACATTATAAACGTAACGCATATTTCACAGCTGACTTATGGTCGATGTGGTGCACACCCAGCCTGGTGCTGTGCTGTGCTCTGACCAAGTGAAGATAGGGCAACTTCCGGGATCATGGGGTCACAGAAGGCGGGCGTCTGATGCCTGACACACTCCAGCTGTCAGAGCCTCAGCTCGCCTGTCTCCCATGGCCTTGCACACGGCCCTACAGCTCTTTCTTTATCATGCAAGAAGAATTACGGCACCTTGTCCCAAACGTGATTAACAGCTCTTTCTTTTCTGCAGGATCAACCAGATTTCATTGTTGGAATGTCATGATCTGGCTCTGTCCTACCAACCTACTCATTTTCTATTTCCTTGGGACCTGATAGTTGTTTGGCTTTTCCTTTTGCTTCTATTATGTTTCTTTTTTTCCCCTGGTCATCATCTGTTTTGGAAGCCATCTCCCATATATGATCTTGCAGTATTGCTGCATTCTTTACATGCTCAGAAGGGATTTGACATGGGCCCCATTGGATAGCCCCAGGGAAGACAAAATGGCCCAAATGATCCATATCTTTTAATGGGGTGCTGGGAAAACCACAGCGGCAATACCAGCAGCAGCGGAAGTGCAGATCCACTAGGGTAGCTGGCTGGCAGGTGGATGGGTGCTGCCAGGTTTGGCTACTGTCTCACTGAGTCCAGCGCTTGTTGCTAAAACTGAACACTACCCACTCAGCCACTCAGTAAGTCACAAA